TGCATCTGAGTCCCATAATCTTGGTAGAGTTGGAAGCCAAATAGCTGGGAATGCTCTGCAGGCTCCTTTTGTTGATCCTATGTATCTTCAGTATCTGAGGACATCTGATTATGCTGCAGCACAGCTTGCAGCCCTTAATGATCCCTCTATGGATAGGAACTTCATAGGTAATTCATACATGAACTTGCTTGAGCTTCAAAAAGCTTATCTTGGAGCTCTGCTATCACCTCAGAAATCTCAATATGGCGTTCCGTTGGGTGCTAAATCTGGTACTTCTAATCTTCATGGTTTTTATGGAAATCCAACCTTTGGTGCTGGCATGTCGTATCCTGGAAGCCCCTTAGCAAGTCCTGTTATTCCAAACTCACCAGTTGGACCCGGAAGTCCTATCAGACACACTGACCTGAATATGCGTTTTCCTTCTGGGATGAGGAATCTAGCTGGGGGTGTCATTGGACCCTGGCATTTGGATGCAGGATGTAACATGGATGAAAGCTTTGCCTCTTCCCTACTTGAAGAGTTTAAGAGCAATAAAACAAAGTGCTTTGAACTTTCAGAAATTGCTGGTCATGTTGTTGAGTTCAGGTATGCTTGTGTCTTAAAATCATGTTTTATGTAGTCATACAGGCATCCTAACATTTTTTTTTTGAGCAGTGCGGATCAGTATGGCAGCCGATTTATACAGCAAAAACTTGAAACAGCTACAACTGAAGAGAAAAATATGGTTTATGAGGAAATCATGCCTCAAGCTCTTGCGTTGATGACTGATGTGTTTGGTAATTATGTCATTCAAAAGGTATCTGCTGCTTAATCTGTTGCATATCTGCTTAGTTGTATATTTTTATGGTTTATTATATTTACCAAATAAAATCTATATCTGTGTACAGTTTTTTGAGCATGGACTTCCAGCTCAGAGAAGAGAACTCGCTGGCAAGCTTTTTGGTCATGTTCTAACACTTAGTCTTCAAATGTATGGCTGTCGAGTGATCCAAAAGGTATTGGTATATGGTTGCAATTCTCCTAGAGTTTAGTTCTTGTTCTTCTTCCGTTCCATTTGCTCATAATCATCAAGTTGCATGTTGAACAACTTCTCCTGTTGATTCTTTTCATTCATCATACTGTTCCTCATAATTGTTCTGCAGTTTCTTGACAATTATGAGTTTCTCTCTAAATGAGATCAGCACAATGGTTGATAATTTGAAAATTACTGTGGTTGGATTTTACGTTCCATTTTGTATAAAATACATATAAGTCTGTGTTTATGTTTAATTGTTAATATGTGCTATGGTAAGCTTCAATCAATGTGATAGAGCTTAATTTGGTTATTTCCATATCTTGCTTTTTGTATAGATATCATAAAAGCGCTCATGCTAATTGATCTGAGTCTGAATGGTTACACGAAGAATACTGCCCAGCATTCTGATAATTATGTATGCTTTGTTTAACATTTTAAGGCCATAGAAGTTGTTGATCTGGATCAGAAGATTAAAATGGTTCAAGAGCTTGATGGTAGTGTCATGCGTTGTGTACGAGATCAGAATGGCAACCATGTCATCCAGAAGTGTATTGAATGTGTTCCTGAGGAAAACATTCAATTTATAGTTACAACATTTTTTGATCAAGTTGTGACCCTTTCCACTCATCCATATGGGTGCCGAGTGATACAGGTTTAGAACTTGTTTTTTGCTTAAATTTTGAACTTTTGAAACTGTTCTATGCTAAGAATGAGCAATGCGTGGTCTGTATTAATTTTTTTAACACTGCAGAGAATACTGGAGCACTGCAAGGACCCGAAAACACAGAGTAAAGTCATGGATGAGATTTTAGGATCTGTTAGCATGTTGGCCCAAGACCAGTATGGCAATTATGTTGTCCAGGTTGTCATTCTTTTCTGGAAACTTATAGTTTGTATGGCATATGATCTGTTGGGGCAGAAGTAATCAACCAAATCTGCTTGAGGGTCTTTGCTTTTTTGCCTTTATTTTCTATTAATATGCTGTCCGAAATTTTTTGGTATTTGTTGTTTATTTTTCACAGTGTATCTTTAAAATGTGTTTATTTTTGTTGTTAGTTAAATGTCTCTATAGTATTTCTTTTTCGAAGTATTAACTGATCTCTTTCATTCACTTAACAGCATGTACTGGAGCATGGAAAGCCTCATGAACGCTCAATTATAATTAAAGAGTTAGCTGGAAAGATAGTCCAGATGAGTCAGCAGAAGTTTGCCTCTAACGTTGTTGAGAAGTGCTTAACTTTTGGTGGTCCTTCTGAACGTCAATTGTTGGTGAATGAAATGCTTGGTTCTACTGATGAGAATGAGCCTCTTCAGGTTTGTCCATTTTTTATGCTGAGTCTTTTAACTTTGAATAGATATACTTTCTGCTTTTAATTCCTTGTATTTGAAAGAAAATGTCCAAATAACTTCACTGGTTTGTAAATCATTGAAGAAGAGCCATGAACCATGACTGCCTTTATTTGTGCTTGGTTTGGCTGAGTATGGTGATCTTCCTTGTTGGCGAGAATGATACTTTTGTTCATATTTGTAATCTGGGTGTGTATGTTGCAAGGTATCAACTTTCATGTATAGTGAGGAATGCTGCTGCTATAGTTGAAGGAAACTCTAGAATTCTGCATATTATACTGATGTCTCAGGAAGTTATGACGTAAAGAATATGGCTAGAATAGTCTTTTTAAAATTGATTGCATGGTGTTCAGGACTTCGCTTTCTGTTTAATTGTCTCTAGAATTAGTCTCTGTAGAATTTCATATCAACCATGTCATTTCTGCTGACAGCTGTTTGTCCACCACAGGCAATGATGAAGGATCAGTTTGCGAACTACGTTGTACAGAAAGTACTGGAGACTTGTGATGACCAGCAACGTGAGCTGATCCTTTCACGAATTAAGGTCCATTTAAATGCATTGAAGAAGTACACTTATGGAAAGCATATTGTTGCACGTGTAGAGAAACTTGTTGCTGCTGGGGGTACTGATTCTTCCTTGACATCAATGGTTGCTTATTAGTTTATATGTATATGTCCATGTATTATGTAAATGAGTTTCTTCATATAGCATTCACTACTGCATTATTAATGGGTTCACTTATCTAGGCAAGGTTTTTGTGGTTTCCTGAATTTTGTTTCTACATTTGATTATGCGTTTTTTAGAAAGTGAACTAACTGGCTCATAACCACGTATCTATTGACATAATGATACCTGCTGATAAAAAAATTGATGAAACTAGATTTCCTGAAACTCTGACAAGTAATTATTGACGGAGTTGAATTTTAATTGCTTGTAATGGTTTTTGCTCAAACATTCACTTTTCTATTTAGAAACCCTTTCATGGACATTTGATGCTCTGGGAATGTGCTGTTAATTAGTCGTAATTATCATGAACCCTTAGGGTTTGAGCTGAGCAGGCACATGGCTCTGTTGAAGACATGGAATGCATATGGCTCCCCTGTTAGTGGATGTTGAACTATAGTACCAAAATTAACCATTCTTTTTTATTGATTTAAATTTGATCCCTGTTATCATGTTACAGCTGCTGTACGTTGAAACCGTCTAACATGTGATTTGTATTCTTTTCAGAAAGGAGAATTGCTGCTCAGTCTCCACACCCTGCTTAATTGGTGTAGGAAAGAATGTGTTTGTACAGCTAACAGAAGCACTGTGGGCTTCCCCTCTTCCTTTCTTCCCGTATCTAGAGCCTATGGTTCTACCTATCTTTTTAGACAGGTAAGAGCTGAATGGAAATAAAGTTGTTGCTTGTACTGGAAACTGTACATTGTGTAGCTTAAGGTTTATACATAGAATCGAGCAAAGCTGAGGTTCAGCTGTTGAATACAGCTGATGCCCCTGCAGAGGAGATAAATGATTATACAAGTTTTTAAGGGTGTAAAAATTTAAAATGGTGAGGTAGTTTATATGATAAGGCGACTGTACAAAATGTTGGCATGTGGAGAGCTGTTGATGTTTAGGTGAGGCCAGAGTTTTTTCCCCTCGATGTATGCTTAATGACATTTTCCTCTTTTCTTTTTCACCCTAAATGCACAATTTTCTCTTTGCTATCAACCTGTTTATGTTTATAATCTTTGTTGGTTTATTTGATGCTTTCTTTCCAAATGATCAAAGATGACAAAGGTCAGGACCCCCTTTGTCATTTATGGGATAGAGATGGTTAAATATTGTCTTTAGCCTGAAAAGTATTTTGTAATTTAAGAAATTTTAACCTTCTTCGTTCTTTGTTTTTGAAACCATGAAGTAGAAAGTAACATTTGGATATAAAATCAAAAGATCTTTTGAAGAATTTTTTTTTTTAAAATTTGTGCTTTTGTGAATTGCACAAAGAACATAGTATTCTACGAGGTATAGGTTGGTCACTTGGTTCTGTTTTTCTTGCATGATTCTTAGAAAAATGAAGTTCCCACTGAAATGCTACCATCATTGAGGGTCCACCCTGAACAATTTTGTCATGTTTAAACACAGAAGTGGTAGGGGTAAGAGCATTGGACATTGGTAGAAAAGACCATAGGGATGCATTAAGCAATGACACGACCACTACTAATGACTATAGACTGAGGATGAAGGGGCAACGACATCAGTTTTGCTTCTGTACCGTAAAGAAGCTGCGGCCATCAGTTTGCTTCTACAAGTTGTTTACTGATGGATTGTTGGCTAACAATCTTTGCCTTTGAAGCAAACTGCGATATCCGGTAGTATGCAAAATAATGTGAAAATATTTCAAGCTCAAGAATGAAGATTGATCATAGTGGAATTGAGGCGCTAGTCGTTATCTGGGTCCGGAAATGCTTGAGGAGACTATGTACGTGACAAGAACATATAATCAGCTTTTGTCTGGTTCAGCGTTGGACTGCCATTTAGAAGTCATTGGAGGTTTTCCTGATAAATTTCATAAGAAAGCAGGACTCTAAAAAGGACTGATCATTTGGGAATGTGAAGATTACATCTGTCATTCCCCAATGCTTCTTCTCCATATATAATATAAATCCTTCAATAGAATTAACTCAGAAAGCTGTCGAGGCTACAATTTTTAGATTGGAAACCGGAATCATTACCTTACAAGCAGTGGACAACGTTTTCAGTTGATTACATGACAAGAAAATCTTTTGCCTAAACGAAGTCTTCCATGAAATAAAGAAAAAGTTTCGGGGTCACAAAGAAAATGAAAAGCTTACAAGAAAAATCTGCGCTCTAAACATCATCATCAATCTTCTGACCAAATCCCCTTGGCCCAGCCCTGGCTCTCACCTTCTTCTTCTTTCCATTCTTCTCCTTGGCAGCCTCTTCTTTTGCAAACTTCTCTCTCTCCCTCTTCCCCAAGAAATCTTGCACTGCTATGTATATAACCTGGAACCCAATTCAAAAGCACTCCAATTCAGCAACAACCCACAGTTCAAAATCAAAACTTCAAGTGAATTTAGGGGAAAAAAAAGGGAGAAAAAGCAGCGGTTATTTGAGAAAGTGAAGTTACCCCAATAGTGAGAATAGTTAGAGCAACAAAGGCAACAAAGAGAAGAGCTTGTATAACAGTTGCCACACCCTCATCACCCGTAGTGGACACTATCTGCTGGGAATTTTCAAGTGGGGTGGTATCTGAAGGCAGAACCTCTTCAGGAGTAGCAAAAGTTATCCAAAGGGTGTTGCTCTTTTTCTGATGATTTCTCCCAACCGGATCCTGAACATGGATGGCATACTTTGATGAGAAAGTTGTTGATAAGGTGAGATGAGAAGCCAACAGTCGAGACGAATGGTGAGACCTTGGCTTGAAAATGGAAGTGAAAGGTGGGGGCCTAGGTAGAGACATGGGTGCGGTGGTAGCCATAGTTCATGAGCAACTAGTTAGCAGCCCAGCCGCCAGTCTCTTCTTCAAAGCTCGCTATCTGCCTCCGTGGCAAAAGCTGCCACAGCGTCATAGATAAATGGCAGTGTTGTAGTTATGGTCCAAGAGAGAAATTTCTTACATAACCTAGGCTCACCGTGTTCCTTGAATTTTGGGCTGTGCTTAATCGGGCGGCAGAGTTCAGGTCTGGTCTGCAGTCGGATGCCAACAAGCCCAGTTGGACTTTGTTTTGGGTAACCATCGATATTTCCAGCAACGTTAGTTGACACCCTTTGACATAAGTCTTGATGGTACGTAACTTGAAAACTATACATGCTATTTGATGACAAGCAGCCTTACAATTTTATTTAAGCATGACCTAATCTTTGATTAAATAATATGGTATCTCCAATCAATTTCAAGATATTAATTGTCATCACTTATAGTTTAGGTTCGAAAATGAAGAGATATAAATAATGATAGTGGACGTATTTTTCAAATAAATATTGATTAATGTCTTTTTTTTTAATTCATTATTTTTTCTCGGAATTCTTTAGCAATTCCTTGGAAATAATGTAAGATAGCATAGAGTAAGCATCCACTTTTGGCACGGCGTACCCTAGACGTTAGATTTAGCTCTTTTTGGGTCAAGTTTATAGTCTTACATAACATAAATAACTATTGGTCTGAAAGTGGTTAAGCCAAGGCTCTGCTCTTCCGCATCTGATCTTATTGTAAACCTTGCCATTACTCAAATCCATCCTAAGATCGTCCGCCCATTCATCGTGCATTAGTATCCCATCAAACGGTTGAGACGTTTCCACGCTGTCAGTCCTAAATTTGTCCACGTCTCTCCTTCCAGCTGTTCACCAACATCCTCTTCTCCCATTGGTCGGTCCGCTTTGAAAAAGATGGGCCAGGGCAAAACCGTCCTGAAAAATTCTAGCCCTCACATTCCCCGAAACACCCTCAAAAGTGCACGTACTTTGCTTACTTGGCCGCCTACCTTCCAATCCGACCACGTCCGTTTCCGTAATAAAATGCCCCCACCACCGACGATCCAGCACAACCAGTGCCGTTCATACGACCCACAATTGATTACATGGCAAAACGTAATTGGAGAAGCCCTGATTTTGATGTTAAGGAGAGAGAGAGATATTTAGCGGATCAAAAATATCTGGCTAAGTCGTCCACGTTGGCAGTACCGCTAGACCGATCTGGAATCAGATATTGCACTTTTTTTTTTCTCTTCCTTTTCCTTTCCTTTTCCCTCAGAAAAGCGAATTTCTTTTTTTCTTTCCTCCCAAACAGCCCCCCAATTTTTACGCAAATATCTGAAAAATCTCTTCAGTTTTTACTCTTTCTTCCCGGTCCAAACAACAAGGCCCGAAAACCATAATAAGAATTTCAAGAAAATCTCTAATTTGAAGGCCGGAAAAGGGAAAATTTATATGGGGGAAGAAGTGAATATGAGTGAATATGAAGCTAATGGCGGAGAGGATGAACAGGTCACCGCCACCGCAACAGCCACAGCTGCGGTCGTTGACGACGACGACGACGACGATGACGAAAGAGTTATCGAATGGGAGATGGGATTACCTAACACCGATGATTTAACTCCGTTATCACAATCCTTAATCCCACCGGAACTCGCCTCCGCTTTCAGCATCTCGCCGGAGCCTCGTCGGACCACTCTCGACGTCAACCGCGCTTCTCACAGTACCCTCTCCTCTCTCCGTTCCATCGGGGCCCACTCCTGCACTACCAATAACAACAATAATAATAATGATAACAATTTTCGTTCTTTCAATGACCCGATGGTAGGTGAACCGGAAGGGGACGGGTCGGGTTCGGGATCCGGATCAGACTCGAAGAAGATGAGGAAGATGGATATTGCAGAGGAAGCGGATTCAGCGGTTAGGACGACGGAGAATTCGGAGGATCCGTCGGCGAGGACGTTGAAACGACCGCGCCTAGTGTGGACGCCGCAACTGCATAAGAGATTCGTTGATGTGGTGGCCCATTTGGGGATCAAAAACGCGGTTCCCAAAACGATCATGCAGTTAATGAACGTCGAAGGCTTGACCCGCGAGAACGTCGCCAGTCATTTGCAAAAATATCGGCTTTACTTGAAAAGAATGCAAGGGTTAAGCAACGAAGGTCCATCGTCTTCCGATCAGCTGTTTGCATCAACGCCGGTGCCGCAGAGTCTTCATGAGGGTGGAAGCGGCGGCGGAGGTGGAAGTGGTGGTGGTGGTAGTGCCAATGGGAATGGGCATATGGGGATGGCTATATCGATGCCTTATGGGGCACCAATGATGCCAATGCCGATGCCGATGTATGGACATGTGGGGATGCATCAAGCAGGGTATCTTCATCACCATCAGCAACAGCATCATCATCAAAATGGGTATGAAGCGAATCCGTATGGGATTATCCAGCGGAGTGATTGGTCTGGTGGGAATAACTATGGTTCTGTTGTGTCGTATCCCCATCATATGGCTCCCAATGATAAGTTAAATTAGTTGTATTTTTGTACGAAGGTCAGTTCTTTTCTTTCTTTTATCGTTCTTATTATATGAATTTTTAGCTTTATTGATTGGTTGACTGGTAGATATATATGGGTTTTGTTGAAAAGTCTGAATTTTTATTTTCAAAGTAACTTCCTTTTGCTGAAAATTGAATTGTAGAAAGCGTTAATTCGCTTGAAAATTATGGTTTTTTGAAGTTAAGTAATTTTGAGATGTACAGTGCTATATAAACCGCTGCTTCTGGAACTTGCTCGGAGTTTCGAATGGAATGGAAAGCGATTTAGCTTAGATTATTTTGTTGTTACGGGGAATGGATGTGACGGCATGGTTTAAACAGGATTAAGGGGCAATAATTTCGTATTCATACTCATCTACAAGAAAAGGAATCCTTTTTTGCTTTGAGGTTCCTGTATTAATTTTACTTGATTATGATTGATGCCTTTTCTGCAAACAGAGTCACTCTATGATTTAGTGTCTACTTGATTGTCTAGACTGTGACTTAGTTCACAAGATGAATGGACGCATTTCTAGGCAGTTTACTCTCTCTTCTTCTGTTTAGGGGAGCTTGTACATGCCTCAGCGCTATCTTTGAGCTATTGCCTTCTAACTTTATGCAGCTCTGCAGTAGTGCTTATTTATTTTTTCAGCTGTTGTTTCTATGTTTATTTGTATTTTTATATGTTCTTTTGAACAGAACTATCTGCTTCATTTACCTTTTGCATTGCAAAATTTATCCTATTTCCATCTTCCTTTTCTTTCTCCCCATTCCTTGCATTCAGGGTAGTAGTTGATGTAGCCAGACTGGTTCAATAACCTTAGTTGAAGTGGTTTTGTTTCAGGTTGCTCTTGATTATGTAGTGATAAAACATAGGTTTGCCTGTTTCTAAGAAAGACCGTTACTTAATTTGATGTTTCTTATGTTTGCTGCTTGTTGATTTATTTCTGTGTTTTTGAAATTTCAAATTAAATCATTGTGTTGCAAATTCATCACCGATCATTAATTTCTTTTGTAGATTCAGAAATTTTGAGCAACTTGGTGTTCACTTGACTCTCTGAAATTGGCTGTGTTCTCATGGTTTCTTGGCAGACAGATGGATTCCAATCCTGATGAAGCATTTGGAGATATTTATGAAGCATTTGGATATATTTGAGTGGAGTTTTGAAGTTATGAACGAGACTTGAATTGAACCTGGCAAAGAGATAAAATCTCTCAGTGGATTGCTTTCTTGATTTACTTGATGGCAGACAGAAGTTCTCTGCATATATTACATCTTCTACCTAGCTTATTACCTGATAGCAGCATGGAAGTACCCCAGCAGTTTACTCAGCCTCTACCTTAACTAGAGCAAGTCGGAAAACTACATTCTTACCTTGGCCATTAACCTGTGTATTATTGAATATATTAAACTTTCTTTTCGGCCAAGAAACAAAAAGCTAATAAAAAAGCTAAGCAAAAGTCCATCACCCATCTTGCTTGTTATTGGATCAATGACTTTATGAACGTTTGGCCACTTTATTTGTTGAAAACTTTTCATCCTTTTCCCTTTGGCTTGAAGAAATTAGCAGCCAATCCTGTAATTTCTCTACATCCTCAAATTATACAAATTCCAAAACAAACTTTATTTTGCTTGTTTGATTGTTTTCTTTCAGTATTTTAAGTGAGTGAGTGCTCGTAATTATGAATACATACAAAACTATGAGTTGGGTTGGGCATGGGACACATTGATTGATTTGGCCAGGTTTACTATTTGTCAGAACTTCTATTTTGGGGCAATTCTGTTGTGCTTCTGGCAGGAGCCTGTTTGTCACTAGTTCTGCAACTTGTTGCCAATCAAGGATAACAACGGAGCACATGCTGATACCAGAGAATTGACCTTTCGGCAAGGGCAATGGTTGTTCCAACATGTCACTACCCAAATATTGGCAAATTTTTGGGTTATTAGGAAAGAAATTAACAAATCTATTGTTTTATATACTTTTGCAGGTTTGAGATTTTAAAGTACTTTATTCCTTTGCATGGGCATCTTTGCACTTATCCAAATATTTGGAAGATCATTGAACGTCAGCATAGTTAACCCAACAGCAAGGAATTATGGGGAATTTTGTTTCTGGCCTCACATTGTGCTGGTTATAGTCTTTCAAAGCAAACCAAAAAGATTGAAAACTTGACTAGAAAAGAGAACAAATGGGAAGAAAGAAAGAAAAGGTGCATATAAAGGTGAATGTTTGAGAGTCTGGATTCATTTTAAAGCTCAAGCAATTTCGTGTGGAATGTAAATGTCGACATGACAGAGGAGCTAACAATATCTCCATTTGAAATCAAAAGTACATAGCAGGCCACCACCAGTTCGAATATTCTTGGTCTTTTCTTTTTATCTTTTCTACTGGTGCCTCTCTGAAAAACTCCACCAGAATGTCTTCGCATCCCGCCTCTGAACAACATTCCTGCGCTGCAGTCCAACAGTTTCAAGCCTTTTTACATGGTCCCCTCATGAAGGACTCATTATCCCGAATAAATTTATGCCCCATTTTTTTTGTCTTTTTGGATCTGAGCATCCCCAAACTTCATCCACAACTTCTTAGCTTGTGGAAGTTTTGAGTTCTTTCACCTAAATGTAGCGCATCGATGCAATATGTACAAGAGAGTTTGAACTTTTCCAACAGAAAAGAAAGATACTCTAGGGAATGCAGTAGAAGCCTTACCTCAGGGCTCTGCTATAGCTTCCAATCATCCTTTCATGAGAATGCAAGGCATGAAGGACCTGTAATCCCGAAGCCAAACAATTGATGAGTGAACTGCACAAGTGAGCTTGAGAAAATCATAACACAAAGCACGAGGAATATCAATCATCCTCGGGGAAAATACGTCACATTTTAAGAAATCATGCTTAAGCATTAGGAACCTTCTAACCAACTGCATCCCAGAAATTTTCTCAGCTTCCTTTTCTTTATCATCTTCTTTAACCTTAAAGCATTTCCCCAACTGCCAACATCAGCATATAAATTTGCCAACAGCAAATTGTTTCCTGTGCTGCCAGGCTCAAGCCGTCGCAAATGTTTAGCTGCTAGCTCAGCAAGATGAATATTCCCATGGGTCCTACATGCTCCTAATAGTGCCCCCCATACAAATGAATCTGGTTCTATAGGCATTGTCTTAATAACATCATAAGCCTCATTAACTTTTCCTGCTCGACCAAAAAGATCTACTAGGCAAGCATAATGCTCCGATCTTGGGGTAATCTTGTACTTCTCGTGCATCAAGTTGAATAAACTCTGTCCATGCTCAACCAATCCAGCATGACTACAAGCAGTGAGGACTGCTGTGAAAGTCAAGTGATCTGGCTTCTTCCCCTCCTCCTCCATCTGTCTGAAAAGGTCAATCGCTTCCTCACAGAATCCATGATTTGCATACCCAAAGATCACTGAATTCCAAGTAACAATGTTCCTTTCAGACATTTTATAAAACAAAGTTCTTGCTTCAGATATAAAGCCACACTTAGCATACATATCAACAAGAGCACTCTTCACATAAATATCATTTTCAGCCCCAATCACCAACGCATATCCATGGACCTCCTTCCCAAGCTTCAAATCCACTGCACTCATGCAAGCAGGCAAAAGACTACTAATTGTGGCTGAACTTGGATAGAGCCCTTGCTTAATCATCTTCTTAAAACTACCAAAAGCCTCATCATATCGAAAATTCTGCACAAGCCCCGATATGACAGAAGTCCAAGATACCACATCAGGCCCAATCCCATAAGCCAACATCAATTCAAGAACTTTGGACACCATCCAATGTTCATCTTTCTTTGAAAAACCAGCAATCAAAGTGTTCCAAGTAACCACATCAGGCCCAACTCCCATCAATTTCATCTCCAATACCAAACGTAACCCTTCTTCTACAAGCCCCTTTTGAGCATATCCTGAAACAACAGCATTCAAAGCTACCAAATCTTTCTCAAACATCCCATCAAACACTTTTTTCGCCTTTTCAACTTGCCCACATTTCGCGTACATAGCAATAAGAGAACTAGTAACAAAAGCATCAGTTTCAAAAGATTTCTTGAGGCACAAGCAATGTATTTTCTTTCCTGTTTCTTGATCCAAAACGTGCCCACAAGCCTTCAAAATGCTGGGGATAACATATATGTTAACTCCCAAAGCTTCTGCTTGCATTTCAGAGAAAACATTTATTGCCTCCTGATAATACCCACGTCGAGAATATGCACCTATGATGGAAATCCAACGACTGACATTTGTTTTGGGAATTTTATCGAACAGTTTACGAGCATCTGATATTTGGCCACACTCAGTGTAAAAACCTATGAACTTGGAGGCTAAATAAGTCAAACGAACCAACCCATTGATGATCAGGTGCGCGTGGAGTAGTCTTCCCGATTTCAGCGCTCGATCACGAGCGTAGGTTTCTAAAAGGTTGGCGTAGGCATCAGTAAATGAGTGAAATAAACGGGGCATGATGGTGATTTTTGTTTTGTGGTTCCCCAAGAAATGCTTTGCCGTTGATTACCTGTAAAGGCGGGAAAAGGGCAGATGCGTTTCAGTTATAAGTTATAACGTTATAACTTGTAAATATATAGTTTGATTAGGGGCCCACTTGGGTAGTATCTGAAAAGAAAAATATGGCATATATAACCTCACAATGTCAGACATTGATCATGCTTACTTTGACACTAAGTGGGACCCAACATGGGGTTTGCAAAATCTGATCGTTATGAGCCGTTTGATCTTGATAATAGCACTTTGACTTGGATGAACTGGTGTAGGAGCAGGCAATGAAGCAATGTATTGTTCATGTTCTCCAAAGCATTACATTACCAGTAATCTCGACATGAGCAGCAACCTTTGTTGAAGTGATGAAACCTATAATTATCACTTAACACTATAACTCTTTCTGTAATCATCGATGCAAACTTCATGAACATATGACAATCAGTGCAAACTCTGAGGTTCTTGAAAACTCTGACCGGCTTTCCTGCTGGCAAGCTTATAAGGCCAAAGCAAACTGCAAGTTTCTCACTGTGGTATAGACAAGAATCATCCTCTGCATACAGGGGGTTTGCATTAGTAGATGCTTTGTCTTTTATTTGCATCATTACTTGGTTCAACTTATTGTATATTTTGGCAGATTCGGGGTGTGTTCTATCGTGCGAAAAGAATTTGTGTATCTTGTTTTTCACTTCTATCCAACTACATCCTGGTTCTTTTGTAACCTCCTTTAGTTTCATCAGCTTTCTCTGGTTTTCTGCATCGACCAATTGCCTTGCTTCGGCATACATATTTGAGAGGGTAACATACACTGGTGCAGCATTCGGGTCCAAAGCTAGTATGTGCTTTGCAACAAATTCTGCCATTTGGAGATTGTTGTGGCACCGGCAAGCTGCAAGTAGAGGTGTCCATATTGAAGCTGTAGGTTCGATGGGCAAGTTGTTTATGAAATCAAGTGCCTTTTCCAGTTGTCCAGATCTTCCTAGTAAGTCCACCATGCAACTATAATGTGCTTCTTCTGGTAAGATGCCAAATTCTCTAACCATTGATTGAAATATTTCTAGGCCATCTTGGATTTTGCCAGAGTGGCTACATGCAGAAAGAACAGCCAGGAAAGTGGAACCTGTTGGTCTAAATCCTTTGTGAATCATCCCCCTAAACAGTGATATAGCCCTTCTTGGATTGGTGTTCTGCGAGCACGCTTTGATGACTGAGTTCCATGATATGACATCTGGTACTGAAATCCGACTGAAAACCCGCTCTGCATCTTCTACGCTCCCACATTTAGTATAAGCTTCTATCAATGAGCTTCCCACATGCATGTTTGTGTCAAAGTTAGCTTTCACTACCCGAGCATGTATCTGCTGGCTGCTTGTGAATGATGGTAAGGAAGCACAAGCTTTCAGAATGATGGAAAAGGTAAACTCATCACAAACAGCATCTTTTCTTACCATTTCACTAAAAGCATCCAAAGCCTCATTGGCTTTCTCATTGTGAACTAACCCTTTGGTTAGTGCATTCCATGATACTTTAGAGGCCAAAGTGCCCATTCCCTTGAACTGTTTTTCTGCATCATCCATTTGTCCAAGCTCACAGTACATATCTATAATTGCAGTCCCAACAAATTCACCCAAAGCCATCCCCCTTTTAATAACTAAAGCATGAAGCAAACGGCCATTATCAAGATTCTTCACACTTCCACAAGATGCAAGAGCAATTGTAAATGTGTACTCATTTGGTTCAATCCCATTCTCTCTCATCAAGCAGAACAGCCTCATAGCTTTCTCAAAATCCTCATGCTTATATAATCCATTAATAATTGCAGTCCATGAAATGAGGTTCCTTTGTAGAAGACGTTTAAACAGTGATTCAGCATCCTCCATCGCCCCACACTTGCCATACATTGTCAAAAGCACATTACTCACAGCTGTTTCTGATAAATGTTGCATCTTCACAACTTGGGCATGAAGCTGTTTTCCTTCTTCAATAGCTGAAAGGGTTCCACAAATTGCTAGCATAGTCGAGTATGTATAAGGATTAGGCTTGTTACCGAAGCTATCAAACTTCATGAAGAAACTAAAAGCTTCATCAAACAATCCACAACTAGCATAACCAGAAATCAAACAATTACATGAAGCAACATCTAAGTGAGGCATTTGATTAAATAGCGCAACCGCACTATCCATATCTCCACATTTAGCATACATATCAATAAGGCTAGTACCCACAAACCCATCCTCATCAAGTCCAATCTTTGCAATCAAAGCATGGTAACTTCTTCCAAGTTCAAAACATCCTTCAGCAACACAAAATTTTAAAACACTAATCAAATGACTACTGTCTAACACATTTCTTGCTAAATCACCTTTTTCTCCCATTCCAGTTTCATGATAGTGTGTTGACACGCTAATTCTTTTAGGCATTTGAGCAAATACCAAACATTCATTCTTGACCAAAATTTGTTCACTTGACACAGATGGTACTGGAAAACTACATATTTGAAGCAAGGCTTGATCTTTCACAGACCAACGAAAGGACGAAGGGAAGCACTTGTTTACATCCATCTTAGAAACTGAAGTCATGGCGGGTATTGTTGGTATCTAGGAAGTAGTATATACAAGAACCGAACTTTCTTTTTAAGACAAAATAAAAAAAGGATAAATGGGGTATTTTGGTATTTTGGGTTGTATTTGTCACTGTCTAAGGTGACAACCTTTTTGAGCCGTTGATATAGTTATCACAAGGCATGGCCCACCTTCACACCATCCACAACTTCTCTTGCAACCCAATTTCAAAGCCAAAGCAAGAGTTTTTGCATCCAAAATCCAACTTTTATGAATATCAGAGATACCATAGAAGAGGGTTAATTCATGAATACGCATGGATTGGTTCGTTCTTTAACACCAGATACCCTTCTCTTTATCCCTCACTTTTCTTCAAGATCGTTCCTTGTTCATCAAAAGCAAGCAAATTTGGCAGTACCCAGTTTCAGATATTGCCAAAGAGGTGGCTTTGGCTTCGGCTTTGCTCCAAGACCATTTGCACCATCCCTTGTCAGGTATCACAGAAAAAGAAATGGTTGTACCCTTTTGAGAGCGAGTTGGAGAGAGTCTCCTTATGAAGTTTTGGGTGTTTCTCCTTCTGCAACTCCAGATGAAATTAAAAGGGCTTATAGGAAACTTGCTTTGAAGTATCACCCTGATGTCAACAAAGAGGTAATTCGGTGACTAGACATTAAAATTTTCATCATCCTCTGTTTTGGCTTCGTTTTTGTTCATTGCTATATTAGAAATAAGTTTTAGAGGGTAATATAGTTTTCAACAATAGAATGAAGGGCTATTACGTATTATTATTGAATTTTAGACTGATTGGATTTGTTATTATTCTTGTTTTGCGCACTGAGTTCTAATTAGCAAATGGTTTTTAATGAGTTTTAACTTTGCAATAGTCCGGTGAAGGGCTTGGCCTTGTTCTGACTTGCACGTACTCGTGAACAGTGCACGTCCTGCCTAGTGTTAGGTGGTGGAGAGGGAGGGATGAAAGGAATTTTGGAGCGGAAGGTGTGTTGAGTTATATACTTGTCTGAATAAGTCATTGGAGTTATAGGCTGGCCCTGGAATGCTTAGACTCTTAGATATGTCTTGAGTGCAAAAATTGGATCTTCTGCCTTCTTATGATTGCTATCCTCTCGTCTTGCTTTGGTGTAAAAGATCTCCGAAAATTAAAAAATAATGTCCTCTATTTGATAGGTAGCAAATCTGCATGTCCCCGTATTATGTTTCTCAAGCTTCTATATTCTCATCACACTTATTTAATACTTTTCTTAACAAATCAGATGCATTCCTATTTTTCACATGTTATTGTAATTTAGAACACATGAAATCAGAATATGATGCGTTTCAGTGCAGGGTTTTAGACTCAACACATAAAATTATGGCTGTCTCCAGGAAAGAGTAAATCCGGAGCTTTGAGAAGATATTGGCTTTGTCAGACATCATCTCTCTTGATTAAGGCTTTTTAAGTGCTTGAGAGCAATGTGGCAAGTGTTTTGCTACTTGTTTTCATAGTTTGAGTTTAAGAAAATGCAGAGCATCTGTGCTTTTTGTTTACTCTATGACAGTGTCAAGTTGGGTTGCTTATGCTTTTCCATCATTCTCCCTTCATAGTAGGATGGCCGCATCTGCTCCTTTTCTTGTTTGTCTTTCTAACCTTTAGTGCTTTCATTTTATGTTTGTGGCTTTGTATATTAAGTAATTCTGGTATACAGGCAAATGCACAGGAGAAATTTATGAGGATTAAGCATGCATACAATACATTGCTGAACTCCGAATCTAGGAGAAGATACAACTCTGACCGCACATCTGATTTTTCGTACTCTGGAACTCAACAAAGACAGAGCACAAATGCCCAAGAAGAAGAATTCTATGGATTTGGTAACAGCCTCTAAGCTTACCAAAAGCAAATTAATTATGTTCAGTCATAAAGAGTTGTATTCGTATTGCATATGACCAGTGTTTACACATCGCTGCTTCTCTTAGAGCCACTGAAGTGTTTGTATTTCCTTAGAAAAGGTTTTCCATTTCTTTTGGTTAAAAGATCACCAGAAAAATGGTGGGGGTTTGGCCAAAGGTTGACTTGGAACAATCTATCAGGAGTCAAGGTTTATTTCCCCCTGACAAGCCCTGTGCCTGGTCTACTATATCAATATGTTCTTGGTTGTTTGACAGATGTTTGCGGTCCCTGCCATGCAATGTTGCATTATTATAATTGCACATCTCATCCTTTCAACTCTTTTAAACTGTCTTTTCCTACCATCTCCCTTTGGGCAAACAATCTGACTAGCACATAAGGATACTTAAAAGTTATATGTTTTCTTATAATTTTGTAGGAGATAGGTTTATTTTTGTTATTCTTATACTTAACACTTTATGCTGCAGGTAATTTTTTGAGGGATGTTCAAATTTCGCTAGGTAGATTTGTACTCTCTATTGAGATTATGAGGAGGATAAGATAAACTTGCATCATTTCAAAATCTTGTCTAGCATCTGTTGTCTTTTTCCTCTAAATGGCAAGTAAATCCCGGTTCTGTTTACAGCTCATGTCTTGATTTGTGTTGCAGAGGACTTCTTTAAAGACCTTCAAGAAGAATTTCGGAATTGGGAAGCAAGTGTGTCCTCACAAGAAAAGCCAAAAAGCTTGTGGGAGGAATTAGCAGTATGATGTTATTGTCTTTGCTAGTTCCAATATCCATGAAGAGAGCATAATCACACTGATTCAAACTTTCCATAATTTATCATGTGGATTACCAATCCAGACTAATGCGATTCTCTTATTAATACCAATTCATACTAATTGAATTCACTCTTGGCAGGCCATAGGAGAGGAATTTGTGGAATTTCTGGAGAAAGAGCTCAACATAACTGATGAAGAAGTTGATGCTAACAACAGAGATGACTATAGTAATTCTGACAAAATAGGAAGCAGTTTTCAAAACGAAGCCAAAAAGGGTAGCAACGTTGAGGAGAACATTGATGAGATAGAAGCTACTCTTGCGAAGTTGAAAAAGGAACTAGGTTTGTAACAAGGAAGTGCAGCTTTGTATTGCCTTGAGCAGGCCAAGCATACCATGCAGGGAAGTGAATTATAGTGAATATAATGTAGCATCTCACGTTAACATATCTGAAGTTCAAATGTAAGATCTGTCTACACCAATTTAGAAGCTCAGAGAAGGGGGAAGGTACTTCCCCACCATAGTCACAACTGAAAGATTGCTACTCGCCAATTGCAGCTATTGTAAAATAGCCCTTTTCTCTGACTCTTACCTTTCCCATTTTCTTTCATTCCATTAATTGGTAGCAGCTAGTGGCATAGTGGTTGACCCTTATATGCCTGGCTTTGTACCTCGCCACAATTTAAGTGGTAATTATTTGTAATTTGCAGGCAAAGGCATTTTTTTATTGACTAATAAATCTGAAAGGAAAGCCTTTGGAGTTGCCTCGGATTCTCTTCCATATTCTCTCTGTTCGCGATTCAATCAGTAACTGCCGTTGTTTAATTGCTGCAAAAACCTTCAATGCCAGAGCATGACAAATACTACTATGTTTGACTCAAGTGCCAAGAAGATCTACTAAGCAAAAGGGGCTTTGAGAAGTACAAAAAGCATAATCAAGCACCAACAATTTCCTCGCGATCCCTTAGTTTGTACAAAATAGGATAAAAATATAACGCACAAGATTTTCAATACAATAATTATTTGAAACAAGAAAGCCGCTGAAGTATTATTATAACTAGTTCCATGTATCTTAAAAGATCTATAAGATCAAGAACAGCTCTAACGGTAACTAGAAAACCCAAATGGCCACCCTGTATTAAGCAAAATTAGACCTAAATCACATTTTAATATCTTTCCCCAAATCGGAAGAAGACTGCACCAGTTCCAGTGTTATGGTCAACAGCATACTCTGCTCTCACTAGACCTAGCTTGACACCGACACCATATGATGAACCATGACCCATTCGCCTGTAGACCTCTGTTGGGTTACCCTTTACATCCTTCGAACTTCCTAGATCATTGCCATGCTCTGCAAATGCATATACATGTGTATTTCTCACAGGTATTCTAAGCTCAGCTCCAAGCTGCAGGTAACATCAGAAAAAGGAATTCAGATTAATTGTCATTTTATGTAAACACAATCACACTCCTGTATTCAATTTATAGTTAGTTAACTCTCGTATGGTCTTTTGATCACCAGAATCCTCATTCTTAGCCTCCATTTTCACATGAAATACAACAAAAATTATGACATTAAAAGAAAAACAAAAGATTAGTAAAGAAAACAGGTATCTCCAATCATTCTTACCTCAATAATGTTTCTAGCTGCACCTAACTCACCCATGTTATAACCTCTCACAGAATAGGGGCCCCCAAGAGTAAAAGCATCATAACTTGGCAAGTCACCCACACAACCTCCATAATGGCCATGAAGGACTAGAACAGGTGGTGGTGGTTTATTGGCTCCTTCTTCCACTTGCTTTAGTTGGAGAAATCGTGTAAATGTTAGTTGGTGGCGGTTAAAGAATGGAAACTTGCTGCCAATGCCAAGTCCTTGGTCCACCTGCATTATGTAAATAAAAACCAGCAATGAGCTAGGAACAGAATGTTACAGGAAACTCAAATGCAGACTTATTAATCAGCCGTAATGAAGCTAAAGGTAGGCAGTGGTTTACAGGAAAAGGGGCACTTGTTAGTAAGCTTAAGCTTATCCATTTAGCTATTTCAACAATGCACAAAAATACGTATGTCAATCCAGCAGCCAGAACAATGAGCTATTATTCCTGTTTATTACATAAGAAATGCAGAAATGCTAAAAAGATTAGGAGAATGGCTTTGTTATCTATCTTAGAATAAATAGAACACATAATGGTTCATTTACAAGCATGTATCAAGCAATTGTATGCTATTAATACTTTAAACTCATGCCAGATATTGAACAGTATCAGCAAAGACAGATTATCCTGGTCCAGTCATAATATTCACAATGTTATGAACTAACCTGGAATACATTCCTCTCACCAACTATAGCTCCATTTACAAACTTGGTATTATCACGTGTGATATTTGCCTGTAGAAATGCCATTCGATCAACACCAGTACCACTTAGAGTGGTCGGAGGTCCATCTGCGCTGATGCCTCCACTTGGCAGCACTCTTTGACCACTGGGAGAGATATGACTGCTTTCATCACGTGTTGTTATCTCTTCCATGACAAGTCCGTAAGTGAATTTACTTTGTCGGGTGAAATTCTGCCAGAAGCATATTGATCACAATTGATTCCAGTATACATAAAATCCAACAATCACTTTGAGGACCTTTTTAGACATAGCAGATTACCTCTGTAATGTTAGCTTTGACACCAGCTCGATCAACCCATATTGGGGGGACTTCATCAACTCCTGGCCCACCAGTGAAAACTGGACTTAGTTTCCGGCTGTTGAAGCAGCTTGCTCGAAAAGTACGGTTCCGTGGATTATAAACGCCATCTAAATATGGGTGCACATATTCTAATTTGAAAGCAAGATCATCCTGAATAAAAAGAATAACAGGAACATCTTAGGATGAAAAATTTACACTAATCACTGGTGTAAATAGTCACTGAGAGAGAGAGAGAGAGAGA